GCTTGTCGAGTCATATCGATCTTGTAGACTTTGCATTTTTTATTGTCTTAGTTCTTGTTCGTGATTAGATGTTTGAGGATTTCTAATTAACTAGAGAATATGTTGGAAGATTTGTTGATGAAATGGTTGACAATTCTCCACTTTCCATTTGCTCTTCCGATGAATTGTTCCAATCCCACTTGCTTGCTTCATTCACTCGAATATCTCGACTCACAATCACATTCATGTTTATTGGGTCGAATAATTTGTAGCCTTTAGCTTTCTCGTCATACCCAATGAACACAAATTCAATGCTCTCCTCTTCTAGCTTTGTTCTTTGTTGATTTGACACGTGTGCATAGGCCTGCTCTGAATATTTTGAGATACGAGACTGTCAGTTTATGACCACTCAATGCCTCATGTGGAGTTTTATCTTCTAACTTCACATGTAGACATCTATTTTGTACGTAAATTGAGCATTGCACTGCTTCCGCCCAAACTTTGGGCATCTTCTTACTCTTCAACATTGATCAAGCTATGTCGAGAATTGTCCGATTCTTCCTCTTTTCCACACCATTTTGTTGGTGCGAGTATGGTGCAGTTAGGAACCTTTTTACTCCTTGCTTCTCGTAGTAACTTGTAAAATCCGCTGAGTTGTATTCACCACCTCTATAGGATTGCCTTGCTCTAATGAACTTGCCAGTTGTCTTCTCCACCATGACTTTGAACTTCTTAAACACATTGAACGCCTTCGATTTTTCCTTCAAAAAATAAACCCAAATTTTTCTGGAATTGTCGTCGTTAAAAGTAATAAAGTATCTTTTACCACTGAAAGACTCAGGAGTGATTGGCCCACAAATATCAGTGTGTACTAATTTGAGAATATTTGATACTTGATATTCCGCCTTCTTCTAAAATGAATTCCTCGCATGTTTCCCAAGTACGCACTCCTCACAAATCTTGTCGGTATATTCTATCTCTGGTAGTTCATACACCATCTCCTTCTTCAACAATTTCTGTAGGACTCCATAGTCCAAATGGCTAAATCACAGATACCATAGAGACACCTTGTCTTTTATATCAACTTGCAAGCATCTTTCTTCGTACATAACTTAGGTTGATCTTGTACATTTTGCTATTTCCCATCTTAATTTGTGTAACTAGCCAGCCCTTCTTGTCTATCAGTTGTATTACTTGATTTTTCATAAACACCGAGTATCCTTTGTCCATTAGTTTCCCCATACTTTGTATCTTGCTTTTAAAATCAGGTACATAATACACATTTTCAATTAACCCTTTCACGCCATCTTTTTGCAAGTAAGAGATTGTACCTTGACCCTTTACTTGGATCTTTGATGCATTACCAAATGACACATGCTCATCTTCAACAACCCGCATTTCTTTAAATAAATGTTTATACCCACACATATGATTGCTAGCACCAGTGTCGAGATACCAACTTGTCTCGCCACTAGTGTTATTTTCATCTTAAGCTAACCATGAGAAGTCCATCTTTCGTCTCTTTCTTTGAGACAAGATTAGTGTTCTCTTCAATCTTCTTCTCGCCCTAGAAATCTCTTGCGTAATGCCCAATTTTTCCACAATTGTGGCACTTGTCGAATTTATAGTCCTTCTCATATTGAACATTTTTGGCACATTTATAACATTCGACATTAGAGTGGTTTAGCCGGTCGCCTCTTTCACGATCTCTTCCTCGACCTCGCCAATTTTGTTTATTTGATTTCTCCTCATAACATCTTTCGTGACCACGACCTCTTCAACCATGTTCATTTTCGTAACCTCTTCTTGCACGTCCTTTTTCACAAATAATTTGAGAATATAGTACTTTATCATCTTTAATTGTCACTTTGGATTGAAGAACTTGTTCGAGCGTTTCCTCCTTTTGTTGCTCATGTGCCTCCAGTGAGCTCATTAATAGTTAGTGTGATGAGATCCTTTTGACTCTTCAATCGCGCCCCAACATTCTCAAAATCGTTGGTTAATGACCGCAATATCTTCTCCACTACTCAGGCATCGTTCAACGTCTCACAATTTCTTTTGAGTTGATTTATTACAATTTGCACACGCATGATGTAGTCAGATACACCTTATGACTCTTTCATCTTCATCCCTTCCAATTTGCCTCTCAAAGTTTGGAGGCGTACTTGCTTGACACGATCAGCTCTTTTGAACATTTTCTCTAAAGTGTTCCACGCTTCTTTTGAAGTCGTCTACTGCTTGATATAGCATGTAGAGAACAGTTTTATCCTTCGCTCGCACCTCTTTTAATGCCTTTAGTTGGTTCATCATTATGCCCGCCGTATATGTTATTTCGATGAAGCTGTTCTCAACGACTTCCCATACATCTTGTGCACCCAGCAATGACCACATCTAAATACTCTACTTGTTATAGTTTATCTTTGTTAGTCGTTGTAACGGCATCTACCCCATCGATAAACTTCCAAGATTTGCCATCGCTCTAATACCAATTTGTGATAGAACAAAAAAAAAACTAATTTGTGAAAATGTAGGAACACTAATACTCTAATTTTCTTGAATTGAGAGAAGATTTCAACTACAACCACAAAACATTTTTAGGCTTTAATATAGCCCACCATTCCTACGGTTACATCCTTTCAAAATGAGATTACAACCACAAAGAAAAAAAAAGCAGTTAATAAAACTGAAATATTATCTTCCTCTTGATTGTTATCCACATATCCACCATTATCTTCCTCTTGATAGCTATCCACATCTCAAGTTGGTAACCCATATTATTTGGATGATTTGAGTTTATCAACAATTCTTCTCTAATTGAAATGAAGTGACAACAATTATATTTGATTATGTCATCTTTCTTTTCTTTATTTATGAATTTCACGTATGTGCTTTTCTTTTCATTTTGTTTGAGGGTGGATGGGTGTGTTCTGACTTCTGAGTTGGATCAGTTTGGTCTTCAAAATTCACATTTCAATTTATAAATTTGCTTAAAGCAGTACTTTGAGAAGTGACACCTATTGATGAGGATGTTATTAGGAGAAATTGGGAAATAAGAATATTGGAAATTCCGCAAGTTTAACTTCTTATTCTAGTCTTACCTTCACTTTGCTCATATTGTTAAGTTTGAAAAACTTCATGGCTATTATCTTTAGTTAATGTTTCATACCCTTACTCATTGGAACTTACCTGTGAGTTGCTATGCATACTCTTGAATCTTTTTTGGTTCGTGGTAGAGGTTGAGAGTGGTGTGTAGGCCATTCTAGAAGCTGGGGTTGAGCAATATTCCCACATAGAATGTGAAATAAAAGAGCTCCTAATATAGCAATGGTGGGCCATACCAATAGGGTTAAATATTTTAGTTTGACGTTCATCCATTAGAGCATTGAGCTCATCTTGGACACTCGGTGTTTCACTCTTCTAATGAAAATTATCTCATAAATAAGCATTATTTTGGAACATTTATTTATTTATTTATTTATTGAAAAGAAAATTTCCTTTCTCTTTTGCCCTATGGCAACTTGTTGGAAATATGTATAATCTCCCATCTAATTAAACGTTTTTTTGGTAATAAAGCATGTATATGTGGGCTTTTAAATGAATTCAAAAGGGCTAAACTAACTATAAAATTGAACTTCAAAATTATTTTATAGCTAAACAGACTCAAAATGTCATAATTTTTTGTCAAATAACCATCTAATCGAGACAAATCTAGTAATACCAAAATTATTTGAATTCAAGAAAATTTAAATTTTGTAAATTTGCAATCTAATCCCTTCTCTTTTATTGTGAAAGTAAACCGTATAGCGAAAAAAAAAAAAAATGTAGCAGCAAAGATAGAACAACATGATTTCATGTGGAAAAACTCAAAACTGGAAAAAAATCATGGAGTTACACCACACCAAGAAATTCACTATGAAAATTAGAAGATATTATATAGATATTTCTTCTCTCTCAGTCTCTCCTTATCCCTCTTTACTCTTGCACTGTTCTATACATAGAAATGTTAAAGAAACTCACATAAATCACCCTAAGGGATGCAACCCTTCAAGTTAAGAATGAAAATGCGAAAGAAAACTGCCCAGCCTGACTTGCAATGTCGCAACCCAGGTTTGGAGTGCCGCAATGCTCCACTCTTTATATCCAGCCTAACTTGGAGTGCTGTGGCGTCAGGGTTTGGAGCGCAACGGCACTCCGTTCTTGTATGTCTCCAACCAGACTATACAACACCGCAATGCTCTGGTACGAAGCGCCGCAAAGCTGTATGGTTGTTCAGGAAAAAAATATTCCAGGTGAACCCAAGAAGGGGGAGGACCCCATGGTGAGCTCAGACTTATTTAATTTGGGTCAGAGTCAACAATATAACCCGGTTGATTTACACAATCAGATTCCACACAGAACTAACATCTTTTAATAATTATACTTCGAACCTTCTACTAGTAAATTTTGCAATTTCCCTCGTGTCATACATGAAGTGCTTTGCTTCTATTTTTCCATGGTAAGCAAATTGTGGTTTCACCAAACCATGAATGTCATGTGAGGTGCCTTACATACTATAATTCATTCTCCACACACATAAGCCGGCATCCTTAACCTAGCATGCTTGCAATGGGTTGAATTATTCACTAAGCTAGTTCAAATGTCAACTGGACTGCTCAACCATTTTAAGATTCTGGTATATCCATATTTCATGGAACAATTATTATCATCATGATCATCGGTAGATTTCTCTCAAGGCAATAAGATAAACTTCCTGAAATTTGGACTTGTTCTTCACCTCCCTATTTTTGCACTGATTGTTCTTGGTTGATGGTTGGCAAGTTTTACCGTGTTTTCTTTTCAATGGCTTGACTTATAATTTTGTGATTGGCTAAGTTTCCATCGTATGGTTGCATGTTAAATTACTGACAGAGGTTCATATTAGAACTCAATATCTAGCAATTTTAACGTCCAACTAAAAAATCCGTGTTGCATATTGTTGTAGTTGCATAACCTGAACACTCTTATTCTCTTCCAGGTTTTTGGGTACACCATTTTTTCACTGTATGGTAGCAAGATCCCAAAATTATTCTTCTGAGATTTCTGTTATTATTGATCCTGAAACAATTCTTCTGCCCAACTTCCTCACTACTTTGCATTGTGCTTACAAGCTTGATCGTGACTGGTTTCTAGTTTCCATGATACCAAGCGTCTCAAACTTTCCTTTTCACATGGATGACACTGGGAACCACTGGCTAAAGGAAGATGGCGCAAGTATTGGGATTGGGAAGGTAAAACGAACTTATCTCACTCCTAGTTAAATGCTGAATATGTGCTTGGTTTTGTTATCATCTCTCTGCATTTCCACCAGCTACAGGAATATGCCATTAAAGAACTACAGTGGAGCAACTGTGGTGAGAAGCTTGTAATGGCTTGGAACAGGGGTGATGTACCACTATATTCTGGGATTCTTCCTCCTTTCTTACATGGGAAAGGATTCTACAATTCCTGGGTTTTACATGAAGTGTTGTCATCAGAATTCAGATTAGTTATTGATGGAAGCTACATTGTATCTGCAATTTATCCACAAGCTGATACTGCTAACGATGGTTGGGAAGTGAAAGGGAATAATCATCTTGCAGTATTATATGGATCACTTTATTCTGGAGAACAAAACAAGCTAACCACAGATCTTAAGTTTATAAAATGTTTAGGAAAACATTTTCTTTTTGATTCAGTGAAGAAAGTTGTTTTCTATCATGAAGGATCCAGCAGACCTTTTTTCAGTTTCAAGGATGGGATGGCATTCTTACTAACATGGCCCTTGCACTTTGGGATTCAGCAGAGATTAATACGTTGCATTGACGATTTGAATTTTTTGGGAATTGAATGTTTTCTTAAGAAAATATACAATATTGCTTTTACAGAACCACTGACATTGTCTATTCCATTCGATTTGGAATCACTCCTCCAGATCACCGCAGACAAGGATAAAACAATTGTTCTTGCAGTAGCTGGAGACAACTATAGGGAAATGCTAATGAGTTGGGTTTGCCAATTACGACATTTAGCTGTATCGAATTTTATCGTCTGTGCTCTTGATGCGGAGACTTATCAGTTTGCACTCTTAATGGTATCTTAAAGTTTGAATCTGAAAAATAAGCTGTTTTATCTCTCTCACTGTTGGCCTGTTGTTTTTGTTTCAATGTGAAACATCTATTTGGGCTAATGCATCTTCTCATCTTTTTTTTAGGGTTTGCCAGTTTTCATGGATCCACTTGCACCAAGCAATATTAGCTTCAACGACTGCCACTTTGGCACTAACTGTTTCCAGAGAGTGACAAAAGTCAAATCCCGGATAGTTTTGCAGATTCTGAAAATGGGATACAATGTTCTCCTAAGTGATGTTGATGTATATTGGTTCAGTAATCCCTTGACCTATCTCCAATCATTTGGTCCTGCTATTTTGGTGACACAATCAGATGAATATAATGAGACGGGTATGCTATGAACTCTCAAGAAATTTAGTTTCGCTTCTTAATTTTGTTGATTTTTTTAGTATTTTCCCCCAATATATGCTAATCTGCATATTTTTTAAGCATGGCTAGAATGCTATGAAAATCAGGGAAAGAGCCACCACCACTGCTTCATCAGCAAAAGCAAAACCTATATAATATTCCCTAACTAATGTGCAACCTCCTCAATTAAATCTTTCTCACTATGAAGAATGTATGCTAATACATATCTTCGACACTATGGAGTATGAATACTAAAACGAAATATGAATACAAAAAAGACATTGGGATGCATCTTAATTTAAGTAGAGTACTATATTATGGTTTAACATTGCACAATATGGTATTGAGACGATGTGTTAACCTCAACGTATTTTAAGGCACAAGCTTCACAATAAAAATTGCATAAAGTTAATGAATATAAAAAATAATAAATTAGCATCATAATGTATTAATATATTAAAAAATAGTACATTAACATTCTAACATAGTAAAAATAATAAATTTATTTATATATTAGGTAACAAATTGCACAAGCCATAAAGTATCAAATATCAAATTGCACAAGGAGTTTAATGCAAATATCAATTGATCAAAGTAACTCAAGATTTCGAATAAAAGTAAAATAATATATTGAATCAAAGACAAAAACTTTAGCACAATAAGTTTCCCTTTCTGTCTTTTACTATCCAACCTGGCAACTTCCAATGATCATATACAAGTAATCAAAGTGCTTAGCACCCTCATCACTCAGGTGGTCTTCATTAGAGTTGTTGTCATAATGAATTGCTTTCTCCTTGGCCTTTTCTTCAAAGGGGTTCAAGATCTCCCAAAATTTTGTTTCTTCTTCAATCTCAATCTTATCTTCCACTGGAGCTACTCCAACCTTTTCACGTATATGATCATTTTGTATCCTATCTCTAAGGGTAAATCCACTCATCCACTTGAGCATCTTCATCTCTGGAACACTTAGTATTATGCTTCTCTTTTAATGGCCAACATTCTGTACCATAAAGCATTGTAGGTCTCACCACCATCTTATAGAATTTTCCCTTAAGTTTGAGGGGGACTTTTCTATCACACAACAAGCTCGATGCATTCCTCCACTTCAACCATCTAACTTGAATTCTATTGATAATATCCCCATCTATTTCACCATCACTATCACTCTGAACAATGGATCCAAGATATCTAAAACGTGTACTCTTATTAATGACTTGATCGCCCAAAGTCACCATTCCCCCATTATGTCTATTACATCTAAAATTACACTCCATATATTCAGTTTTAGATCTACTCAAATAAAAACCTTTAGACTCTAAGATTGACCTCCATAATTCAAGTTTACCTTCAACTCCCTCTCTAGTCTTATCAACAACAAGAATATCGTCAACAAAGAGCATACACTAAAGGGCATCCTCTTGCAAATGTCTAGTGAGAACATCAATGACTAAAGCAAAAATGTATGGGCTTAAGGCTGATCCTTGATGTAATCCAACCGAAATAGGAAAATGCTTGGTCAACCACCTTGTGTTTGGACACAAGTATTAGCTCTTGCATACATATCTTTAATGATTTGAATATAAGTATTATTAAATCCTTTCTTTTCAAGAACTCTCCAAAGCACTTCTTGGAACTTTATCGTATGCTTTCTCTAAATAAATAAATATTATATGTAGATCCTCCGTATTCTCTCTATAATTCTCCATCAAACTTCTCAATAAATGTATGGCTTCCATAGTAGACCTACTCGACATGAATCCCAACTGATTTTGAGAAACATTAGTATCACGTCGTAAACTACGCTCCATAACTCGCTCCCATAATTTTAAAGTATGACACATTAGCTTAATTCTTCTATAATTTGCACAATCTTGTGCATCACCTTTATTCTTAAAAATAGGAATCAACACACTTATTCTCCACTCATATGACATCTTTTTAATTAGTCTTCAAAACAATATTAAAAAATTTAGTAAGCCAATAAATTCCTTCATCTCCTAAGCATCTACACACCTCTATTGGAATATCATCAGGTCTAATAGTTTTTCCATACTTCATTTTCTCTAAGGCCTCTCTAACTTCGGTATTACTAATACGCCAATAAAAACATAAATCTTTATTTTCATTTAGGGTGATAAGATCACTAAAGTCAATCATATTTTCACATTCTTCATTAAAAAATTTAGCAAAATATCTCATCCACCTTTGTTGAATATAATCTTCTAAGAAAATTACTTTTTGATTTTCATCCTTAATACACTTCACATGAACTAAATCTTTACTGCTCCTATCTCTTTGTTTGGCTAACTTATACATATATCTTTCTTCCTCCTTAGTATCTAATATATTATATAAATCATTAAAAGTTAAGATCTTTGCATTACATGTTGCTTTCTTAGATTTCTTATGTGCCTCTTTATATATTTCCCAATTATAAAAAAATTTACATCTAAACCAATTTTTATAACAAATCATTGTTCTACTTGGCGATGATGGAAATGACCAAAACAATCATTAGAAAGGCTCGACATGTTCTAGTCAATATGTTAACTATAAAACCACCCATTCTATCATACTCAAATATCATGATTGAATCGGTCAAAAGCAAACTAAGGTGGCACCAACTTCCTTGCTAAATCCATTATACACGTGATTATGCTCTCTCTAAACATCAAGTGACATAGGTCAACTTGATCGTGGCTTATCTTGCTTTTATGTAGTTACAAATTCTAAAAATAGAAGAATAAATGTGTCCAAATAATTAGATTAAGTGTTATAAATAACTAGCCTCTAATATATATATATTAGATGTGCTCCATCCTTTGTGCAGGGATGAGCCCATTAAGTCGTATAGATACCAAAAGAAATGTAAATATGAGGATCTTAGAAAATCTTAGCGAAACTTTATTGGTTCTCTAAAACCTTGAAGAGATCTTTTTCAACCTTTATAATATTGATAGTTTTTTGTCTACTAGGGAGACTAAAAATAAAAGAAGCCATCATTCTTATTGCATCCTGAAATATTCTTGACGATAGAGAAATATAAAGTTTAACTTTTTAGCTTTGTATGAAGATTCATCACACAATTAGATAAAAGAGAAGGTGTAGCGCTCATAAGAGACACCAGAGTTTTTACGTGAAAACCAGTGAAAAGGGGGAAAAAATTGCGGGGCTTGGCCTAGTTTGAATGAATCCACTAGTGTTTGCAGTTAATTACAAATGTGACCTTTCCTTGAAGGAAGACCTTAGTTTGATGTAGCAATTATACATCATATAGAGTGCATTAGATGGAGGGAATTAGAAGAATCAGTATTGACATATTTGTTTAGTCGGCAGGACCATAGTCGGGGGGCGATGGTGGTCAGAAAGATCGTAGTTGGGTGATGGTGGTCGGAATGACCAAAGTTGGCAGGCGACGGAGGTCAGAAAGATCGTTATTAGGCGGCAGAGGTCGAAAGGCCGTTATTATGCGACAAAGGTCGGAAGGACCCTAGTTAGCAGACAACGGAGGCCAAAAAGTTCATTGTCTGGCGATGGAGGCCGGAAAGACCGTTGTCGGCGGGCGATAGTGGTCAGAAAGACCGTTGTCTCATGATGGAGGTCGGAAGAACCATAGTCGGTGGGCAATAATGGTTTGTAAGACCGTTGTCTTGTGACGGAGGTCGGAAGCACCGTAGCCAATGGGCAACAGTGGTCAGAAGATCGTTGTCTAGTGACAAAGGTTAGAAAGATCGTAGTTGGCGGGCGACAGTGGTCAAAAATACCATTGTCTGGCGAACGAAGTCAAAAGGACCTTAGTTGATGAGTGGCAGTGGTTAGAAAGACTATTTTTTGGTGACGAAGGTTGAAAGGACCGTAGTCGGCAAGGATAGTGGTTAGAAAGGTCTTTTCTGACGACGGAGGTCGGAAGGACCATAGTCAGTGGGTGACAGTGATTAGAAAGACCTTTTTTGGTGACGGAGGTTGGAATGACTGTAGTTGCGGGCAACAATGGTTAAAAAGACCGTTGTCTGACGATGAAGTTCGGAAGGACCGTAGTCGGCATGCTACGGAGGTCAAAAAAATTGCAATCGACTTTCAACAATGGTTAGAAAGGTCGTTGTATGGTAACGGAGGTTGGAAGGACCTTAGTCTGTAACTGGGTGGAAGTCCAGTTAGTAGGTGGCTGAGTAGAAGCCTGGCGTCAGTTGGTGGTCAAGTGGAAGTCTGATGATAGTTCGATGACGGTCGGTGGTCCGACGGTGGTCGAGGATGAATTTGGTGGCAAGAGAGCTTTGGTTTCTCTCTCTTTATTATTTTCCTTGCTTTCATACTTGCTCCCTTTCTATGAAGAATGAGGGGTCTATTTATAGAATTCTAGGAGTGGCATGACCATTAAATAGGAGGGAGATCAAGGGTATGTTAGGAGTGGTTTGAATGGACGGCTGATATTGATCCCCTTGATTGTGGACAATTTGCTAGGCATTTGAATATCTTAATGATATCAGAATTTGACGATCTTGGGCTCGTTGGATTTGTCTCGTTAAGCCGCTCGATTCGACTACAAGCATGTTGCATTTGGAATTAGTTTGGTAATCAAATTTATGGTTTGAACCTTCCAAAGGAGCTTCGGGTCTTCGATTTGGACCCATTTGGACTCGGATTGAGCCAAATTTGGTGTCGTTGGGTTCGTGTTTTCGACACATTCAATTTGACTATAAGTTTGCTAAATCGGAGCTCATATGAACCCGAATTTAATTTCGGAAGTTTCCAACACAATTTTGCCTCGAGATTCTTGCTTGATCAAGATAAATTTTTGATGATATATCAATTCTCAAATTTCCTCTCATCTTTTATCTTTAAAGTATTATTCACCTCAATCCTTTCTCGACTCAAAGAGTGTTGATCTAGGTGTTCAAATGAATATTCAAGAAGTCATTATAAAGCTATATGACTGAATTGACCAAAACAACCATCAGAGAGGGTTCGACATGGTCTAGTTTATATGGAAAACATATAGCAACCCAATTTTGTTCGACCCAAATAAATCATCATGCACAAGTTGATCTAAAGCAAAGTAATGTAAAGACCAAGTTGCTAGTGAAATCCATGATACAAGAAATTGTGCTCTCCCCAATCATCAAGCGACGTATGTTTGGTTAACAATGGCTTATCATACTAATTTTGTGCTTCTTGTAAAAACATGTACAAAGAATTAAATTGAGTTTTATTATCTATTATAACTAACCTCAGATAATTAGAAAGATTTTGAGATGTACTCTCTCCTTTGTGTAGGGGATGAGCTCATAGAGTCCTATAAATAACAAAAACAAAAATAATCGAGATGATCCCATAACATACTAGATATTCTTTCTTGACTCTCTAAAACCTTAAAGTGATCTTTTTCATCTTGGTGTATTTTTGGTAGCTCTTTCTAACAGGGAATTGGTCATATTTGAAGCAATCATTATTGATTCTCATATTTTATCTTCAAAATTCTTCCCATCAATTTTTTATTAGACGTAGAATTTTAATCAAGATGTTCATAGGAATGTTCGAGAAGTCTTTTGGAATTGAAACTTTATCAATGGAAGCTCGTCATCTTTACACAATTAGCTGGACTGGCAAGTTGTTTGCCTTGATTATATATGAAAGATATCCTTCCGGAAAAAAAAGAAACTGAAAATATACAAAAGATCTTAAGAAAATCTTAATACCAAAAAATGCAATTGATGATTACTGAAAATAATGTTAAGTATATAAAAAAAAAGTTTTCTTTAAGAACTATGCTTAAAATGAATCATTGTAAGAGCTTGAAGTTGGTTGAAATGATCTAGCACTATTACCCTTTAGTATCTAGAATATGCCATTACTCGTTGCCTGCAGAATGAAAGAAATTTTGGCCCTATATAAGGCTAATGATGCTTATGATGATGTGGTATCTGATGACCTCCACAAGGGATACCCATTTTTGTTCAGATGATTCAAATCGAAAGCTTCCCTAATCTAGGTCCTGAAGGACCTGTAAAGAACCATGTCAAAAAACAACCTCTAGAACCTTAAAGCCTGACAAAGTACTTAATCATAAATTTTGGTTACCATTCCCTCAACTGTTGATCTATTTCATGCTTCTTGCAGGGCCCATAAACTTACCTCGGAGATTGAACTCTGGCTTTTACTTTACTCGCTCTGATCCACCAACCATTGCTGCAATGGAAAAGGTTGTCAAGCATGCATTAACTTCAACCCTATCAGAGCAGCCTAGCTTCTATGATGTCTTGTGCGGGGAAGGTGGCATCAATCGTGTAGATGACAACCATTGTCTTGAACCTGGCACAAACCTGACCATCCACTTCCTTGACAGGAATCTATTTCCCAATGGGGCTTACAAAGGGCTGTGGGAGAAGAGAAATGTGAGATCTTACTGTAAGAAGCAGGGATGCATAATCCTTCATAACAATTGGGTAAGTGGAAGAAAGAGAAAACTAGAACGTCAGGTGCACTCTGGTTTGTGGGAATATGATTCTGCTCAGAGAATGTGCTTGCAAAGTTGGCACCAGACCAGTTTAACTAGTCATTCTTTCTAAATTGCTTTTCTATTTGTATTATATCTAATTGAGTCTGTCGAGGACACACAACATGCCAGAAAAGAACAAAATTTTGATGTAAAAGTAAAAGGGTCGTGTTAGCATTGGATGGTATTCTGCAGCTGTAATTCATGAAATTTTTGGGCACACAATATGTGAGCATCATGGGAAAACAATAAAAAGATTGTCTTATTGAAAGATTCTTCACATCTTTTTCAGCAGGTGTCATTTCCTTGCATTCATCATTATCATGGATCAGTGGAGGGATTTCCATACGTAGTAACCATGAAAGCCATAGTTGACTTCCGAAGGAGAAGATTTCTAGATGAGTTGTTCGATATCCTGCTTTGTTTGAGCAAAACTAGAAGCACCAAACCAGTATTGATCTCATATATGGACAAGTTTAACAAATTCTCCCTGAAAATGAAAACAAACTATGGGTGAGAAGGCTGGGCTCCCTTCCCAGTCTTTATTAGTCATTCTGAATTAAATGCTGATGAGAAGATAATGTTATAGTCACAGGGGCGGATCCAGCTTCTTTTTTCCGGGTGGGCAAAAATATTTTTTTTTTTGTGGGGGATGGACAAAGATGCTTAGGATTTATAAAATGAGGGCAAAAAATTTTTTTAAGAGGGGGCAAAATGCCAAAAATATCCAAAATATTCCAAACAATCCCTCTAAAATAAAAAAAAAAATTTTTTTTGAGGGGGGGCATTTGCCCCCTTGCCCCCCCTCAAGTCAATGGGGGTCCGCCCATGGTTATAGATGTCACAAGCTTCTTGATGTTTCATTGGAGCAGCAGAAGGCAGAGAACAACTCTGCCATCGTATCTGTTCAGATAAGCGCAATTTCCGCACAGAAGCAAAACCGCAGAGCAGGAACTAGTTGTGATGGTCATCCTTGTTGATGAAATATTTGAAATTTGATATGGACTTGTAAGAACTGGAAAGTAGCAGAGGCAATTTGTCAACCATCATCACCACAATGAGAAGATGAGAATGAGAGAGGGGCTTCTAGATGAATGGTGATAGGAAATATTTTAGTTCGCAAGTAACCCTAAGGTAATACTTGAGTTCGCAAGCAAACCTAACCCAAATCGGCGAACAAACAGCAGCCAAATGGCTGTCCACAGCAGGAAAACAGCAGAAAAACAGCACTTGTCCGGGAAAATCTGAGAGAAAACTCAAAGAAAAAGCTTGTATTCCACTAGTCGATGAAGAAAACAGCAAAGATACAATTGATCCTCAATTCGAGAGGAGGATCGATCTCTCCCAAATCTCTAGACGCCGCTAGAGCCCAAAGAAAACCTAAATCTCTCAAATTTCAGTCAAATTCAAGATATTCAAACCCTAGCAAAATCAACTATTTAATACATACAAATCAAAAGGAATTCCCTAAACAGTCCCTACATTCAAATTTCTCTCTGAAACCCCCCAAAAATCCTTCCTAAAACGCTCTGTTTGAGCTGTCGGCCCGCCCGATCTCCGCAGGAGGCGGAGATCCCGCCTGTTCGCCCCCGTGAACCGGTCCCGGCTGGACCGGTACAGTGGACCGGTCTAACAAATGGCTGCTGTCTTAGCTCTGTACAGGTATTGTCTACAAAGTGAATTTGTTAACAATAGTAGTTTATAGATGCATGAATGCTTGCATGATGTCATATATATTGTTGCATGATACATATTGATGCACCAAAAGAAGGCCTAAAATGTGAAGCTATTATTTTTGGTTTATTTTATTTTATTTTTTTTTAATTTTTGAAAAGAAAAAGAAAAAAAAAAAAGGTTATGTATGTGTCTTTATTCTGTCTAATGTAAGCTTGTTATGTCTTTTATCATGTAGTAATTTTTTTTATGTCCTTTCATGCGGAAGAACATATTAGTCAATTGCACCACTTGTTGTCTTAATGGGATATAAAATATAATGAACCAGTGTTGATCTTTTATTGTTGATTTTTCCTTTATTGTTAATGAAACCAATGAATGAAATTTAACAAAGGAAAAAAGAAAGAGCTTTTGTCTCGCTATGGATGGTCATCATCGCCATTAGATTCTGTTCTTTCCGCTATTTTAGAGCGTAGTTAGGATTAGTATTTTTGATGAACATGGATCTCTCCTTTGTTGTGTGCTGTAACTTCTAATTCATCATCTAGTTAAAGTATTTTTCTCTTCCATTCCATCCAGTCATTTTATTTTTTCATCTTCTTCCTCAGTTTTGTGTATATCACAAGCCCAATTTTATATATGTTACAGACCTCATATTTGAAATGAAAGTACTCTTATTCCTCTTGCACTTGTCTCTAGACCACAACATTTTGTTTGAATTGTTTTGAAGGTTTGGGTCTGTTATTATCGAAATATTATCTAATTATTGGAAACTTATTGTTGGTCCACTCAATGCCAAAAAGGGCCCATCTATAGTTGTTGAATCATGTTTTGTCCGGTGGATGATGTTGAGCCGTATTTTGTGCCATCTATGGACTAAGAGCCTATAGCTGAAGATGATGAGTAAGAATATATATATATATATATATAGAGAGAGAGAGAGAGAAAATGGATTTAGACAAAATCTTTATTATCCAAGCTAGTTGTTGTTGACCTGTATACGGCAGTCAAAATCAAATAAAAAAAAATTTTCGTACCTGTTCAGCGCCGACTCGCACGACTGCGGAAATCTCGCTCGAATCATCGCATCGTGCTCCGTTTGTCTTCGCACGACGACGTCTCGTCATGCACGATCGTCTCGACACTAAAATGAGACGGGGTGAATTAGCGATTTAAAAACTTTTTTGATTAAAAACAAAAATTATCTTTTAGTATGTAAGCGGTTTAATAAATGAAATTACAACCCACAATAACGACCCAAAACAAATATTAATCTTTTTTGTGTTTTTGATTTTGTAGAAAAAGTAAATAATAATTTTTTGTTATTTTTATCTTTCTGATTTTTTTTCTTTTTAAAATAAATATTAATCTCAACCAACTACAATGATTTTCATTTCATAATGATAATCAAGCTTAACCTAAATAGCATAAAAATAAATATGCATGTAAGTAAAATTGTAGAAAGTAAGTGCGAAAATAAAAAGAATGCAAACTGATTTTTATAGTGGTTCAATCAACTTGAAGGTCTTCTCTTCGAGTATTACATTAATTAATAGTGACTCTGCCCACTGTTAGGTAGAGAAGTCTGTAAATAATTTTTGATCTCAAAGAATCTCTCATTTCACCTCCTTGGTTCGATTGACAGAGTCGTCGAAATCCTTTTCACCTCATTGGTGTGGAGGAGTAGTTAAAATCTCTTTCAGCTCCTCAGTGTAGCGGAGTAGCAAAAATCTCTTTCACCTCCTCAATGTGGCGGGGTAGCCGATGGCCTTTGACACCAAAGTCTTCTTCATAAAGTTTCCCTTAAGACAATCACCGGCACACCCAAAAGATCTCAGGTGCAAGTTTACTAGAGAAATCGTGTAAAAAAACCCCTCTCACGCTCCTTTGAATTCCACAAGGCTCTTCTCTATCTCAGACAACCACACCCTTTCTCTCCTTTGCTCGATGCTCTCTCTTCAAACAGTCTCATAGAAGAAACATACCTCTGATTACCAAAGAGTCTTGCTAAGGTTATAACAAGAGTATATATAGAGAGAGTTTCAAAAAATTCTAATTTTCAATTATGCCAACTCAAATCACATAGTACGATTAGTTGAATGACATCATATATTATCATGTATGATTACAAATCGTCCAGTACAATTAACACAAATTAAACATCTAATCGTACAGGATGAACCAAAATTCATCTAGAGAGTTCTCAGGAGGCAATATTGCATTTAGCTCTATAAAAGGTCCTAGGAAATAGGTTATCCAAACTGCATTCATTTCTATGATTGAACGTACTATAGTAGATCAATCCTTAAGTGATGAATTATAGATAGTGGCTATATAATAAGAGCTTAATTAGTTCATTAGAAATAATGTATGGGAATAGGTTAGAAGATCCATTGATCAGAGTTTAGTTGGCACCAAATGAGTTTTTAAGAATAAGTTGAATGACTTTGGGTCGGTATTAAGAAACAAAGCAAGTTAGTAGCTAAGGGGTATAATCGAGTAGAGGATATTAATTTTTAAGAGACTTTGTCCCAGTTAGCTAGGTTTGAAGCCATAAGAGTTTTATTAGCATTTTTATGTTTTAGAGTCTTTAAGTTGTATCATATGGATCTAAAAAAGTACTTTTTTTTAAAATTGCGTTATAAAAGAGGATGTATATGTAGAATAAATCTAAGGCTATGAGAATTCTTCATTTTCAAATCATGTTTTCAAACTTAAGAAAATATTGTATGAGTTGAAACAAGCACCTAGGGCATGGTGTGATAGTTTGAGCAACTTTTTTTTAAAGAAGTCTTTTGTTAAGGGTAGTGTAGACACCATATTATTTTTTAAGAAAGTTGGAGAGAACATACTCATAGTACAAATTTATGTTGATATTAGTTAACAATCATACTAATGACTCCTTAGGATGGTAGATTTTATATTGAAAATATTTGATGATCCTTGGTCATATTGTATGATTTGACCATTGATTGTATGCTCCAAAAGAGATGCTTTGGACGGACTTAATTGGACAGTATGATCCTCAGATCAAAGATCATACTGTATATGAAAACCCCAAGCTATGAAATGGAGAGGATTTTATTCCAATTGTTCACATCTTCAAGCTTCAACTCCCATCTTCTTTAGCCATAATTTCCTACTTGGTTTTCATAGCTCAGATATGTTGTCGTTTGGATTTCCATAGAAAGGTAGATTGTAGATTCAATCTGAGGAGCATGATGAAGCCTATGCACGATATAAAAGTGCCTCCATCCTTGTTTCTAAAAATTTGAATCAAGAAAATCTATCCTATCAGGTACTTAAGCTGTTCACCACCTCCACTCTATAGTTAATCATTTGCTTAGCTTTTTCCTACCACACAAAACTTTTGCATAAAGTTTTCACTAATTTTCACATCACCTCTGACTGTACCACCTTATAGTCCCTAGTTTGTCAACGCCAAGTCACCATCACATTAGATGACTTCCATTAATATCTTCACTTGTCTAATGCTAGTCCAATCCCATATTTTGTTTCTAGATCCTCAAATTATAATTGGACTGATATCAATACCACAATTAGGAACTCTCATTTACCTTACCATTAGCCCTTACTGAGTTCCTTGGTTTTAAATGCTCGTGTCATTCAACATATTCTCTAGAATAATATTATTCCTAAAGCAGGTGACCACACGAATATAACTCCTTTGTTATCCTTGGTCACTTATTTTTGTATGTCTAGCACATAATTTAATGCATATGACATATGTTAGCATCTATATATATTCCGCAATCAATTGAGTGCATTAAGAAAGGTGAATAATAGGTATGTCATTAGCACAAGCATCGAGATGCCTCAATTGATGCCAAAATAGCTTTAATTTGATCATGAAACTGATCACATCGATGCACTCCGGGCTTTGAATATACCAAAGAAGAATCCTTCGTGCACAACACAATTCGAAATGATGATGAACACGATTGTTGGAAAGCACGATGTTATAAAAAAATTACCCAAATGACCTCCGATCATGAAATAGAATGCACCATTGTGATCAACATATTGAATTTACTTAAGGGTGGACCCCCCACAATCGATTTGAACAAAGGTGATCAAATTTGATGTTATTAGACATGACAATATGTGATGCTATCCAAACGTCATCCGTTCACAAAATGGACTCTTTTGTTGTGTATGGAATGTCAAAATACCAAGAAATGATTATAATATTGCTCGTCCTTGTATGAGTGAAAATGTGTAGTCAACGCGAGTATCGAGGCAAGGCACACAAATTGAGTCACACATAGAAAGTTGAATTATGGGAGGGATGGATCAATCTATATTGCTCTTATGTTATCTTAATTTTATAATAATAATAATAACCACCGTCGTCAAACTATAATCCTACTGACCAAACTAACAAGCTAACATTCACTTAAGAATAGCTCTCATGGCATTATATTCTTCTAATCCCAACCCTATACTTTTTTTTTTTTTTTAATTTCTCTTCTCTGACTATATCTAACCAACTACGATTGGGTGAGAGAACTCCCTTGACCCTCCTCTAGTTGCCCCAAGGTAATCCTGACGATCATAAGCCGCCGGCGATGAGGATTCCGGCTACCCGAGGGGATCAACATTCCAAGTCTTTTTGCATGCGATCCAGATGTCGAGAGCTCGAGATTCCTTCTATAAGGAGGAGAATGGATAGTGTAGAAGTGAAACAATCCTATTTGTGGGTTAAATCGTCCAAAAATCACTGTAAAATCTTCAACCCTAGTGTAGAACACATACGATTAAATATAGCTTTCTATTAAGTGCTTTTTAGACCGTGATTTCATTTCCCCATTGATGCTCTTCACATGCACGAGTGAGTCTGGGACGCAGATGGAGGACTCCACGTCTCCACCTCACGCGGACGTGATGTCGTGACCTGGTGCGGATGTGATCTGACGGGCAGCACGGACCTGACCTAACGCACGGGTCAATTCGGGTTGACCCGCGGGTTGTCGGGTCAACCCGAACCCGACCCGTTTTTCAAATGGGTCAGAAATCCGAACCCGGACCCGACCCGTTTCGCAAACGGGTTGACCCAAACTCGGATTTTTTTCAGGTCGAGTTCTGGTCAGATTTCAGGTCTTGTCAAATGTTGACACCCCTAGCTGTTATCAGCATTTATTTTTATTTTTATTTTCCCTTTTTTCTTAAGTGTGAGTTAATAATCTTAATTAGAAAATTCTCCCCCACCCAAAAAAAATCTTAATTAGAAAATTCCAGTAAAACAATTACAGCGATGCAGGCTAAACTCAAGGCACCATACAAAGTTCAGAGGAAGACAGACCGGCGTGAAACGGCAGCCTGCTACAAGGACCGCATTTTCGGACCATTGATCGCGACTCTTTATTACTTGCCATTAATTTATCCAATTCCAGCAATGGCCCACCCTTCACTGCCCTGTCTTCGCCTGGCTCTACCTATTTGGAATTTCAAGGTCATTTCTCATTATTATTTTTAAACTATTAATATCAATTAAAATATTAAAATAAAATTACACAGACATCATATAGAATAAAATTAATCTCTCATAAATTTAACAATAAAAATAAAATTCTCATTATGAAAAAAATAGCAGAAATATATATTTGTCGATTGAGAATCGCTACCGGCGACTCGTTTTTCATCTCCTTCTCTTTCTAACGACCTCGTATAAACGGACATAGTCGGCCTCGCCGTCGGCCTAACATCCCTCTCCACTTCGTATAAGCAAGCGGCGACCGCACATGAGGCGATGATCTGTTGCCCTAGCGTCGAATCTACGAATTCTCTCTCTAAAAGAGGCAGGTGTTAGGCTGAGAAAAGATAATGAATTCGAATCAGCAGAGGAGCTCCGATTTGGATCTGGTAATCTTCCGTTGAGGAAGATGAGAGGCAGGCGGGCTGACGACGCCTCCATGAAGGATCGACGCCGTCGAGACGGCGGTGGAGGCGGGAAATTTTCGAGATCGTCGAGCTCCTTCACTTTTTCTTTTGCTCTTTTCCTCCTCTGCGTCGCCCTCTGTTCCGTTGTTGCCTTATCCACTTTCCGACTTATCGGAGGTAAGAAAAAGAATATTTGAAGCGATTAGCTTTTCAAACGGAACAACTGCATAGCTCATATTGATTTTCTGTTGGATTTTCTTTCTTACCGCTTGCTGTTATCAACCGGATTAGTTTGGGAATGTTGGGGAGCCTGTTCGAATTCTGTTACTGGATGATTTACTTGCTTTTTGATCCTAACGTTTTGAAAGAAGCTGCTTCGTTTGTGCCAATCCTGTTTTAATTAGTTTTTCTTGATTTAGATATATGCAGTTCTTGTTCCTTTGCTCGCTTGAATTGATTTCTTCCTTCGTTTTGGTCCTTGTAGAATTAGATCTTATATGAAATATGGAGAATTATTGTTTTTCTTTTTTATCCATATTATTCGACCTGATTTTCCGTTTTTTTTTTGGTCCAATTTCAACAGTGTCCTTCCGACCCGTTCTGCTTCCCACATGGAGGAACCCTACCATGAACGCCATCTCTGGTGAATACCCTCTTTCTCGGCGAGACCTTAGAGCTTCTAATTCAAATTTAACTCCGGCCGGCCTACGCATCGAGGAGGCAGTCACCTTCCCTGACTTCGTCCTCCTCTTTCTGAAACCCCAATCATATGGCGCCATAGCAAATCTCCGTTGCATCTATTTCCTTTCTCAATCCGCTGAGTCGCATCTCAGCCTCCCTGCTCTCTCATCCTCTTCCGCCAGCTCTTGCGTCCGCTGCCCTCTCCCTCTCAAAGCCGACGTCTTTAACATCTCCCTCTCCGAAACCTCCCTGCCCCAGCTTCCTCCCATTCTTCCCCTCCGCTCAGACCATCTCGCCTACGCTTCAGTCCTCGATACCAGAGACAACACCACTGTCATCTTCGCCAAGGGCCACAACCTCCGCGCTGCTCGCCTCTCTAACCCTAACAGCTTTGAGTGCATCTTTGGCTGGGATTTCTCTCACCCCAAGTTCTCTCTATCCTCCGAGGTACTCTCGGCTGCCCAGGAGATTTTCCGCTGCCGCACTCCTCTCAGCATCCTCCAACGCCGCCACAATTCCCCTTCCATCTTTCCATTTGTGTCTGTCAGGTTCAAGGGCCATGGAAGCATTCCTCTCCCCTCCATTGCCCGACCCGAAACCTTCTCCTCACCTCCAATGCCAAAGCGACCACCCAAGGCTCACTTGATGTGTGTCTGCACCATGCTTCGCAACCAGGCAAGGTTTCTCCAAGAGTGGATTATCTACCACTCACGCATCGGCGTCGAGCGGTGGTTCATCTATGATAACAACAGCGATGATGACCTTGAGCAGGTTGTGCAAGGGCTTTTCACCCAGTGGAGGATTATGATCAGCCTCCATGAGTGGCCATGGTTGAAGACCCAAGAGGCTGGTTTTGCTCACTGTGCCCTGCGTGCCCGGGAATCCTGCAAATGGGTGGGATTCATTGATGTAGACGAATTCCTTTACTTCCCTTCGAATTTTAAGCTGCATGATGTGTTGAGGAACTACTCGAGATCTCCATCAATAGCAGAGCTCCGCACAACTTGCCATAGCTTTGGGCCGTCAGGTAGGAAGACCGCTCCTCCTGAGGGTGTCATGGTTGGTTACAGTTGTCGTATTTCCCCGCCGGAGCGGCACAAATCAATCATCAGGCCAGAAGCTTTGAACCCCTCCCTGATCAATGTTGTCCACCATTTTCATCTCAAAGATGGAATGAAGTTTGTGAACATGGATGTGCGGGTTATGGTGATCAACCATTATAAGTATCAGGTATGGGAGGTGTTCAAGGAGAAGTTCCACCGGAGAGTGGCAACATATGTGGCTGATTGGCAGGAAGATGAGAATGTGGGATCAAAAGACAGGGCACCAGGATTAGGAACTAAAGCGGTGGAGCCATCGGATTGGGCAAACCGATTCTGCGAGGTGAATGACACTGGTCTAAGGAATTGGGTGTTGCAGGCCTTTGTTGATCCTAACACTGGCCATCTCCCATGGTAGTTGGGGCATGGCTTATATTCTTTCTTGTTCATCAGACTTTGCAATACAAACTTGTAGAAGAGACACAGGGGAGGAGAATACAGGCACAATGAGGAGGTGAGGTTGCTCCAATTTCTTTTTTTTGGCCCTTTTTTGTCATTGAAGTTTTTTGTTTTTTTAATGATTTTTGTAATTAGTGGGACACAGAGGCAAATGATTCTTTTTGTAGATAGTTACATAAGGTGAATCCTTCTTGACAGGAAAGTTTAGATTGGGATGAATTGAAAGGGAATTTGGGCTTGGAGTTTTGCACTTTGATATGAAGCCATCTTGAATGTTCATCTTTTTAATATAGCTGGTCATATAGTTTGTTATTTATTTAGAATTCTATCTAGATTTCCAAAGGTTACCAAGGACTTGGTTGATCATGTGGCCTTGAATGTTCTTTTGGGCTCCTCTTTCTCAGTTATGAATGAATGTCCATCAGGGCAATGAGCATGCGCCTGATATTTTTCATTGATGCTGCTGTGTACTTGATTTTTACCTGAAATAAAGAAAGAAAGAAAGGGTTTATCAAAACATGCTTATTAACCCACCAATGCTTAGCTTGGTTGGGAACCCTCATCTCGAGTTCGATTCCCTCAAGTGGCAGTCGCCCCTTCAGTGAGGGCCTCAAAGCGCCGGCTACGGGTACAGTGGCGTGGATGGCCAGATAGGTCGGCCGGGGTTTACGAACTGCCAAGCACGCTCGGCAAAGTCATGGCAGCGGACAGTTCCTCGTCACCCAAAAAGAACATGCTTTTTATGAATCTTTATTGAAATTAAAGTATAAATAAATTCAATGGAGATTTGGGCTTCTTCTTCATTGTTTTTATCTTTCTGTTTCAGTTTTTCTGGTAAAGATAGTTGCATTATATAGCCTATAAGAGTAGGTTGAATTAGTGAAGTCTGTAGCCATCTTCTTGTGTGCTGGCTTTGGAGGACCACGCATGTTCTTTATTACAAGAGCGCGTCCGTGAAGAATTGGGCTTCTTGACCAACGTTACATTCCCTTTTAATAATTGTTCTGTTTATACTAATCTATATTAAGTTATTAACTATTAAAAATTCTTTGGAAGATTTTCATTATTATTATTATTATTATTATTATTATTTTAAAAGAAGTCATAACCTAAAACTCCCATCAAACAAGAGCTTTATCTAAATTTTTATTATGGGTTCATTCTTCATTTTTTTAAAAATTTTCATAATTGGTTGATTATAATTTTTTTTTATTTTCTTAATATATTTTTATTGTGAGGAATATATTTTTTTATAATTAAGTGCGACCATATAAGAAAATTATTTTAAAAAGAAAAATTATAATACTTACAAAAGTTTTTTAACTTTTTTTTTTAAATAATAGCACTAGAACTAATTTATATATTCTAATTTTATTTTATTTACATAAATAAAATTTTTAACATTTTGTAAATTAGTTAAGGCTTTTGTTTGGGATGCTTTTTTTATTGTTTCTTAAAGTAGTAAGAAAGTCATCACAAAATAAACATAGCTTGCATAATGCTAATTTGTAACAACATGAAGCACATATATTTTGAGAGCAATAATTATTTTAGGTATGAGGTCCATTGATTTTGAGTGTTTGTGTAATTGAGGAGAAAACAAAAATGCCATTGCATTTATTGCTAATATTCATTTATAACAAATTTTTTTTGTGCTTTTTATTTGAAAGTCTAACTTTTATCAGCTCATTGTATCATTTCATTAAAAATTTACATACAAAAGATTTATTTTTTCATAATGATATGCTTCAAAAATTTTATGAACTAAAAAATTTTGTATTAAACTATAAAAAAATATTAAGAAACTTTCGAAGCCAAAGTCATCTATTATTGTTTTATTTCTTATTAAATTGCAACATCTTGCCTCAATAGATCTTCATGATCAAATATCCACAAATACTTATCATGCTCGCTAAATCATCTAGATCTTTTGTTAGAAATTTCTAGACTCCATCTATTACATATCTTCATATTAAAGTTTTAGTTCATTATTTTCAACCTTGGATTATGTTTTCTCTAACTATTTGTATGTTATCATAATCAAAAAAAGAGAAAAAAAAAAACCAAGTCCTCGATACTTGCCTCAACATCTTCTACTGTATCTCATAAGATTATTAAGTGTTCATCTATCAAAGTGTTTTATAAGAAATATCTTAAGCTTCTTTTGGGACGACTTTTTATTGTTTCTTAAAGTAGTTTTTTTTTTTTTTTTTTAGTAAGCATTGTCCTTAGGCCAGTATAAACCCCGGTCGACCTACCATGCAACCCACACCAATTTACATGGGCCAACACTTAAGGCTTTCACTGCTTGCCAAGGGATTCGAACCAGGGACCTGGCTTTTGCCCAGCCGGCTGTTCACCACCTGGACAAATAGCGGTGGGTAAAAATTTTTAGTTTTTGTACTAAAAATCTGCTTGAAGAAGTAGTAAGAAAATAGTCACAAACGAAACCTTAATTTCCTATTTAAGCTATCCTAAAATAATTCCTTGTAGTGACAATTTTCCTGCTAAAATGGATGTGGATGTTGTATTTGTTTAAAATATTTCCCTTCTATCTTATCAATTTTTTTATCTCCATGTTTGTTAGTGCATTATTTTATAATGCTAATTTATCTAATAAAAATCATAAAAATGTTGTAGCATAAGTTGGATTAATACGATAACACAAATCACAAAAAATATATTTATATATATAGTAATAATGGTAGGATATACTTCTAATAATAATGCTTGATTCACATTTCCCTACTGGGGTGGCTGACATCACCTTTCCCTTTAATTGTCTTATCTACTTATGTCCTCAAACAACCAAATTGAAAAATAAAAATTTGTATAGTAAGAACTTAGCATAATTATATGCCTAATTTTTTCTACAAGTCAAGCAACATGCATAATATTTTACAAATTATTTCATTAAGTATCTAAGCTTGTAGAGCCATAATATTACATTAGTATTCCTTTTATGCACATCCATTATGATTAGAATCCTTTTTATTAATGCTCTATATGCTCTTTGTTTTTATAAATTGGTCCTACTGTTTCTTAAAAAAGTTTTCTAGTACAAATTTTTTAATTTTTGTACTAAAAAACTACTTTAAGAAGCAGTAAGAAAGCCGTCCCAAACCAAACCTATGTCACAATTCACTTTATGTGGAAATAACTTTATACGTGGAACAAGTGGTTACTCGTTTTTTGATAATTACTATGATGCATGAATCTAATGTTTGACAATTAATTTAATGATGTTGTAATGAATTGCACAAACTAATCCTTGAATTAGGATTCCACTGAAATATTCTAAACCATTAGTTGTAATTATTCCATACATAAATCTTGCATCATGAGATAATCCATTTTGTTACATTTCATTCTATGAGTCATGCAAAAGCATCATCTTTTAAATTTTTATTGCTTTCATGTGTTGACTAGAAGTTATGATATCATCAATTTGCCAGCCCAATATATTTTATTATACATATCATCAACATCTTATGCAATGATTATTGTCATTGATTTATCAAAGTTCTCTAATGAGTATTGTAAACATCATATATGCATTGCCCATAGGAAGATTTCACTCCAAACACAAAACAGACAAAAAATATATATATGAAATTATGCATAAACACCTATGAAGACTAAAATAATGTGAAATACGTATGAAGTCTTTAGAGGATTCACTTCCAATGCTCATTACATTTAGACTCAAACCCAATAAATACTAATGAAATTATACAATTTTTACAATAATAGTGAGAAATGTGCCTCTATAATTTAAAAGCATTATGTGTCATCTTTATTTAGGATAGGATAAAATAATTTCACCCATAAATGGATGGTCTAAAAGCTTAAAATATTCACTTCAAATGTTGATTTGTACTAACTAGCATTCTAGGGGCAATATCATACCAGGAACAACGAATGACCTCAATTTATCGACAGAGTGATCATATAAGTCCTTATAATTATAAAATATCATTTTGATGGTCTTTGATCATAATTTGCTTTTATATAAGAAATTTTACTATTAAAATTTGCCTCAATACATGCTACAATTTTATTAGGCAGTAGATGTTAATATTATTGAATCACCATAACAAGATAATGACATATGAATCAATTTTGATGAACAATGGATTTTTTAGGATGCATACATGTATGAAAACAACCCATATTTGTAATTGTAATAGCCTCAAATTTTAATTTCTCTAAAATTCTTGCAAGTCCTAAAATTTTGGCTAAGAGCGATGTGATGCTACGCTTATGAGTGTAGCGGAGATGCCCTCTCTATTTGAGAGCTCTGAAATGAGCAATGCAAAAGCACTGTGACTATGAAGCATTGTGGCCCTAAGATAAAAGGTTTACAAGGATTTGAGTGAGTGATGTGGTGTTGAAGTGCTGAGCCCTGTGACAATGGACAAAAAAATTTATTTTTCAAATAAAAAATGAAATCTCATTTTATCAAAACCCTCACCTAAGCCATGTTCCCCCCTCCCATTTCTTTATATGGCCGGCTAAGAAGAGATATAAGAGGAGAGAGAAAGTAAGATTTGTGCCAATATGTCTCATCGCTAAAATTATGAAAAGTGTTCTAATCATGGTAGGTAATCTTAACCCTACTTTTATTTAGATAATTTTGAGTTTCATCTAATTTATCTCTCCTAAATATAATAAAAATATAATATTCCTCATTCTAGTGAACTTTTATCATGTAACTTTTGATATATTATAGATATCATTATTTTGAAAATTTTGATGTGCTCATATTAAAATTTCATCTATTGATTTTATGTTTATGTGAGAAATAACAAGTACAAAATGATCGGGAGTGACTATACTACGTACATCTAGACTTGAAATATATAATATGCATAAAGTTACTATTCATTTGTCATAATATACATTTTAGCATAAAACATACATAGTGATGATTACACTGGATATATTTATATGTTATGATAATTGTATAAGATGAGAATATGAAGTTTGAATAGCATAATAATTGTACCTATAGAATGATATAAAATTTGAAGGAGCATACAAAATTCCCCAAATAGTTACAAACTTCATAGAATGCTTGATGTGAATAATTTGATTTCTTTAAAGAAGAAGAAGAAGAAGAAGAAAACATTTGGAAGAAGAAAGTAGAAATGAAGGTTTGAGAGGGTAGAAATGAGGGAGAAAATAGTAGAAATTTTTTATGATTTTTCTCTCTTGTGAGGGTGGGGGTGGGAGCATGTAGGGTATGTTTAAATAAATTTACAATATTGGTTAGTCGTCCTTCCCAA